GCTGATATTATGATGAACAATTTGTTAGTTAACCACTTTTTGATATCTTTTACAAAAACTGAGATATATGGGCTCAAAGTTGACGGTCTGAGTGGCGTTCTATTAGAGTGTTTACGGTATTTCAAATTCATAACACTGGCCCTCTCTGGCTCTCGCTTGGGTAACATACAGTACCCGTCAATATGATATGCAAAAATTTATTTTTCAGTTGGTTTTTGACCATTTTCAGGAGTCTGGTGCTCGGAAAAATCATACTGTTTGCCCTTCTATTAGAAGGGTCCTTCAATTAGAGGGGACCCTTCTATTTTTTCAAACCGCTCTAGGAGAGCCCTTCTATTAGAGGGAGAGTGGCTTCTATTAAAGGGGCCCTTCTAATACAGGTTTTGTGGTAGGTCTGTTTTAGACCCTCGAAAGTTTTCAAAGTGATCGGAAACTTGATAGCCGAGATACAGACTTCTGAAAAATGATCAAAAATTAATTGAAAAACACATTTTTGTAAATCTTATTGACCGGTACTGTAGGTGGTGCTAAGAAGACATCTGGCTGGTCTCAAGGTGTGCTAATTAGTCAAGGTCATACACTCCCCCATCGGGTGTTCTGCCACGTCATCTGGTGTTTTTTATTTTTCTTATGCACCGTCTTTCTGCCTGACTCTGTCCCAATCGATTTTTGGTTTCCTGATTCTTCTACAACCTCTGCGATATTCCTTGCTCCGCTCTTCAACAATTTCAGAACCATGAAACTCTCCAAATTCCCGCGTTTGGTACAAACTGAGATCTTCGACCATTTGAGACATTCGAAACTATTTCTGATGTCCCTTCTCTCTAAAAATATGATGGAAATCATCAAATTGTCTCAAAAGAAGCGATTTGGAAGTATCACTCTGATTAGATACGATTGTGATGAACCGATGGTTTCTACTCAATCCATAATCAGTTATTCTTACGGAGAGATAGTGTCGATTAGCCAGTACGACGACACGGAAAAGAATTACTTTGCTTTGAGTGTCTCTGGAAGGATGATTGATTTTCGGTAATGTTTTCAAATTTGAAACAACGTTTCCGTAAAACCTGTAATAGAAGCGTGTCAACTGACAAATTGTTCATCATAACATCACAAATATTTTATCAGTTGACACATTTTTGATATCTCTTATAGGAGCTGAGATAATTGAGCTCAAACTTGACAGTGTGTGGGCGCCCTTCTATCACAGGTTTTACGGTATATTAAATTGTAGAATTTACGGAATATTTTTCATTAAAGGTGGGGGGACATGAGAAAAATAATGTTGTCGAAATTTCGTTTAAATATGCTCCTCGAGGAGTTGAACTTGTCGAGGCGAGTGTTGAAGGTGCGGCGCCGCTACCGACTGAGCTACGCGTGCAAAGAGAAAGCCACTGCCCGATTGCATACATAAAGGCGAGGACGACAGCTGTACGCAGAGTGACATTAAGCGTTGTACCCCGTTACGGTAGAATGCATACTCTGGCCCCAAAAATCCCCCGTAAAATCTCCTGTCCCCCCACCTTTAAAAACGTACCGAAAATGTTCAATTTCAAAACACATTCATTTCGACACGGGGTCCTTCTATTACAGGGGCCCTTCTATTTTACCAAGCCCCTCTCGGGATGGGCCCTTCTATTAGAGGGGCCCTTCTAATACAGGTTTTATGATAATATGCAGCTGGTGTATTTTCTAGGCCACTTGAAAATGATGACCCACTTTTCGCAAGTCGAGTTTTCTCGGCCACCGATTTTTACAACCTAGAAATTATTTGATAGTCACCTGGTGGGTGTTCCGAATCATTTAACATTTTGGCCTTGAAAACTCGAATTGGAGAAAGTTAGGCCACCATGTGAAAATGTTCTAAAAACCCACCAGCTGCATATAAGGTTATCGGTAAGCCCAGGGATGTTCGGAATGTCGAAAATTGCGATTTTCAAAATTTCGGAATTTCGGAAACTCGAAATATTCCGATTTTAAAAATTCCGGATTTTCGGACATTCCGGAATTTTTCAAAATTCGAATGTTAAAACGGAATTTTCGGAATTATCGAAATTACGAATTCCGTTCCGAACATCCCTGGGTATGCCATAAAAGTTGGTGACCTAGAAAACGCAACTTGCAAA